TATTCTCTCGAAATTAGTTGGTCGTTAACTTAAAAAAAAAAAAGGAAAAACTTTCCCAAATAAATGTTGTGTCAACAGGTCCAAATCTGAAGCCTATCTTTTTGTTAGTATCTGTTGTGTCCATTTGCCATCTGTCTGTCTGTTGGTGGACACAGTTGTTGCTCTTATCTACTAGTCTGTTTTGGTAAATATGTAATTTTATTTTCATTAATATCTATGTATTTATACTCTCTGTGTCTTTCTTTCTATTGTCTATTACTGTTTATGAAATTGTTTACTTGTGCTTATAGCTATCCTTTCTCTACTCCTGTTAATCTGTATATCACATCTTTCTATTCAGAATTATTTTTGGCCCGGCATGGCCTGGTGGTTAGGGTGCTTGACTCGCAATCTGCAGGTCGCGGGTTCGAATCTCCGTTCCACCAGACATGCTTGCCCTTTCAACCGTGGGGGTGTTATAATGCGACGGTCAGTCCCACTATTCGTTGAGAAAAGAGTAGCCCGAAAATTGGCGGTGGGTGGTGTTGACTAGCTCCCTTCCCCTTAGCCTAACAATGCTACATTAGGGACTGCCAACGCAACAGCCCTCGAGTAGCTTTGTGCGAAATTCAAGACAAACAAAACCATGCCTAACATCTTATCTCTAACTATCTGGCTAGCAGGATTGCTCCTCTAGAGAGATTATAAAAATGAACATCGTTACATCAACATTGTTCATACTGTTAACACACCACGACATGACGGGGACTCCAACATCAACATTGTTCACACCACGACATAACGGGGACTCCAACAACCAACACTGTTACCACACCACGACATGAGGGGGACTCCAACATCAACATTGTTCACACTACCATGTGACGGGGACTCCAACAACCAACACTGTTCACACCACCATGTGACGGGGACTCCAACAACCAACACTGTTGACACCACCATGTGACGGGAACTCCAACAACCAACACTGTTCACACCACCATGTGACGGGGACTCCAACATCAACACTGTTCACACCACCATGTGACGGGGACTCCAACATCAACACTATTCACACCACCATGTGACCCGGACTCCAACAACCAACACTGTTCACACTACCATGTGACGGGGACTTCAACAACCAACATTGTTCACACTATCATGTGACGGGGACTCCAACAACCAACACTGTTCACACCACCATATGACTGGGACTCCAACAACCAACATTGTTCACACTACCATGTGACCGGGACTCCAACATCAACATTGTTCACACCACCATGTGACAGGGACTCCAACAACCAACACTGTTCACACCACCATGTGACGGGGACTCCAACATCAACATTGTTCACACTACCATGTGACGGGGACTCCAACATCAACATTGTTCACACTACCATGTGACTGGGACTCCAACATCAACATTGTTCACACTACAATGTGACGGGGACTC